TGGTTGGGATATAAGAATAGATTTCAAAGAAGGCTTTCTAATACTATGAAAATTAAATTTATGTATAAGTCATCTTCAGAGATTGGGGTGTGTTTTGTGATCTCATTCTGTTTAAAAGTTGAATATATAAAACATTGGGGAAAATATTTTTAATGCCTCTGAGAAAAATGAATGTTGGAAAATAAGTAATAAGGCGTCCAGGGAAAAGAGGATTGTTGATTTATCTTCTGATAATATAAAATGCTAGATTTGAGAAGCATTTTAGGTTTGATCTAATTAAGTGAATGTATCAGTAAAATAATTGCTTTCGTAGTGAGTGGAGATGTTAGTACTGTACTTATTAAATGGCATAATGATGGCATGAAGAACATTTTAAATTTGACTCATACTATTCTCATGTCAGATTAATTTATAGATTTATTGGTCATGAGCATTTATATATTCATGTGTGCGTTACCAACCCATGTTGGCTCCTTTTCAGAAAATGTCCATTATTTAAGTCACAAAATTCCCTTGTAAATTATTTCATCTTCTACTTTATCTCCACTATTCTATACATACATGAATGCTTATACACATGCAGATATAGCCATAATATTTAATAGCTGTTCTTTTTGCAACTGTAAATATTGTAATGGTACCGATTTGTTTCGGTAGTGATGATTGCCATCATTTTGGACTAGAAGAGCCGGACTTCTCTCCAGCGCGTACCATCTCTGAGGACATTGAGAGCTGTGCACAGATCTGGGCGCTTTATGAAGAGTTTCAACAAGGCTTTCAGGAAATGGCCAATGAAGACTGGATCACGTTTCGGTTTGATTCAAAAACAATGTTAATACATGGTTTCTTATAATTTGATTTTTTTTGTATGTGGACTTTAGGGTATGTTTTTGTAATTTTATAGGACTAAGACTTACCTATTTGAAGAATTTTTGATGACTTGGCATGAAAAGTTAAGGAAGATTGAAGAACATTCAGTTATGACAGTGAAATTACAATCAGAAGTTGACAAATATAAAGTAAGATTATTTAAGTAAAGTGGTATTTTTTTGCTTTCATTAGTCTTTTATTTAGTAGCTGAACCATAATTTTACTTTATACATATTTGATTAATTTATTCCATTATAGCGGTGCACACCTTAATCTCAGAACTTGGAAGGTGGAGGCAGGATGAGCATTATGAGTTAGAGGCCAGCCTGAGCCCTATAGTGAGTTCAAGGCCAGCCTGAACTGCAAAATCAAAGCAGCAACAAACTGAAAGATGATTTCATTATATAAAAAAATTAGAAATATAAAGTAAATCATAGAAATTATTGATATCTTTCTTATCTGTTGGAAAGAAACTATAAGAAATTTATGGATCATATTATAGAGGATTTATAGATCCTAGTGCAATATGGGTTGTTTCCTAAAATAGAAATATTCTCTCATGTTTTCAAATACATTAACATACAAGGGGAACTTTGTATATATTTATAGCAATGTTTAATAAAAACTTTCATATAATTCTGTTTAAAAATGTGATTTCAAGATTGCTAAATAAGAAAATAAAATTTGGAGTGCTGATAAAATACCATGAAATTGTAACATATGTTTTGTATATGTGAACATGCACCGTTTTCTTTTTCTCTTAAACAGCTTGTAACGCCTGTCTTGAAATATGTGAGAGGGGAGCATCTCTCTCCGGATCACTGGCTCGACCTTTTTCGTCTGCTTGGACTTCCTAGAGGGACTAGTCTAGAGAAGTTACTGTTCGGTGACTTGCTCCAAGTAGCAGATACAATTGTAGTCAAAGCTTCTGACCTTAAAGTAAGAATATTTTTATAAATATCCCTTAATGCCTACCTTTGTTGATGTAGTTTTGCTTTTATTTGGTTGTTTAAATAAAAGTCAGACTTCTCTTAAAATTATAGTCATGTATTATTCCATTCTTTCATTAGTAATGCATCCGAATCCGTCTAGCACTGTTCGCGAGCTTATGGCAGTAATATACCATAAACCATTCTTTATGAGAGAAAAAAAGTCATAAAATTTTCCTTTAAACATTTATTTATTTATTATGTGTGTGTGTGTGTGTGTGTGTGTGGCCAGCTCAGCCCACCAGGGGGCGAGGCTGGCTGGCATGTGGTGCTGGGAGATCGAACCGTGGTCCCTGTGCTTTGCCAAGCTTGTTCCAAGTAGGTGCTTTAGACCACAGAGCCATCTCGCCAGCCCAAATTTTCCTTTAAGAAGGATGTCAGTTATTATAAAAAAGCTAACAAATAGAAATCATTTTACGTAACAGGTTTAAACCATATGATGGTAAAGGATACAAAAATCTAGAAACCTAAGCCAATAACCTGCTTAATTAATCAGATTTAGCAAAGGCCAGAGGTAATTGTAACACATCACAATAGTATTCTCGCTAGTTATTATGAACATAGACTCATATTGCCATATTGTTTTATTTTCTATCCAAAAGCTAAACCCATGAGTTTGTCAGTAATCCTGGAACATGGCTGATAAACAGAGAAGTTGTAAAGGTTTACTGTTAATCCTTTGCATACATCAGACTCTACACTAAGATTACAGGAATATTTCTGTAGTTGCATTTTCCCAAATGTTGGCCTTTTGGGCTCCAAAACTTTACGCCAGGCTAGTTTTCCCTTCCATTTTTTTGTTTTTCTTTTATAAATGTAGAAAGCATATAGGTGCAATTTATGTGAATCACATGAATGTGAATACTTAATACCTGATATGTCTTGATATGGTACTTTCTGATTACATGTACAATATATTCACTTAATTTTTTTTTTTTTGCCTTATGGTAAAAATCCATATAAAAGTGTATTCATATAAAATATATTTTTATAATTTATATGACAATTAGTTTGAAATAATAAGTGTGGATATTTTGTATTAAATAGGATTTAAACAGTCGGGCCCAAGGTGAAGTTACAATCAGAGAAGCTTTACGTGAGCTTGATCTTTGGGGCGTCGGAGCGGTGTTTATGTTGATTGATTATGAAGACAGCCAAGGCCGAACTATCAAGCTGATTAAGGACTGGAAAGACATAGTAAATCAGGTCGGAGACAACAGATGCCTTCTTCAGTCCTTAAAGGATTCTCCATATTATAAAGGATTTGAAGACAAAGTGTCAATTTGGGAAAGAAAACTTGCAGAGTTAGATGAGTACTTGCAAAATTTAAATCATATTCAGAGAAAGTGGGTGTATTTGGAGCCCATTTTTGGCCGTGGAGCATTGCCAAAAGAACAGACCCGTTTCAACAGAGTTGATGAAGATTTCAGGTTAGTGCAGCTACATCTAACCTTGATGCAAATGGCAGCATTTTATTCATATTGTGAAGTGCTTGTTAATCTCTGTGTGCAGTCTCTTTCTTTGGGACCTTCTGAATAGCTTTTTAAAATTTCAGTTTATTTATTTATTTTGTATTTTAGGGAATGGTCAACAGGGTGTTCAGGGTCTCACTACTAGATCAGACTCACAGTGATCCACCTGTTTGCAGCCTCCCAAGAGCTGGAATTATAGGCGTGCCACTATGCACAGTCTCAATTGCCATCTCAGGGCGCCCCGGGAGCAGGGCTGGCAGGACAAGCCTGAGGATTGAACCCTGGCATCTGCTGAGCTATTTGGCTGGCCCTTACTACCCATTTTAACAAAACTGTACTTTACCTTCTTTCTCTCTCTTGCTGTCTCTCTCTGTCTCTCTCAATCTCCTCAGCAACTGAAATTATAGAGGTGTTCCATCATACCTAGCTTTATTTAAATATGTGAAAAGTTACTCAGTTTATTTCTCTGTCATCAAAGTATTCTGAGATGGACTTAATGTGTCTCATGAACAAATGACGTAAGAGAATTTATGTGAAAAGAATAGTGAGACATTAATTTTGCATAATTTATTAAAAATGTTAATAATAGTGTTTTCTGAATTTGAAGCAGATGAAAAAATGACCACCTAAATCTCTTTCAGCTGTAAAACTGTTAATAGATGTGAAAATATTTTTTCTTTTTTAGATCAATAATGACAGACATCAAGAAAGACAACAGAGTTACGACATTAACTACTCATGCAGGAATCAGAAACGCTCTGCTGACAATACTTGATCAGCTTCAGAGGTGTCAGAAATCACTCAATGAATTTTTGGAGGCATGTTTTTCTTTTTTTTAAAGCGATCTACATATAATAAATTTAAAGTATTTAATATCTTAATTATTTGAAAAGAATGCTATTTAAATTTTTTTTATTTAGGAAAAACGTTCAGCATTCCCAAGATTTTATTTTATTGGCGATGATGACTTACTAGAAATCCTGGGCCAGTCCACCAACCCGTCTGTGATTCAGTCTCACCTGAAGAAGCTGTTTGCTGGTAAGAGCCACCGTTTACGCAGGAGATCCTGCCTTTGTTTCACCTATCTGCGAGGCACTTGGATAAATGTAATTATCAGACTCCAAGAAGAGTTTATACTGGGGTCAAGCTAGTAAACTGACAGCTATAATGAGTACGTTGTGACAGTTTCTGTGGTTTACATATGTGTTGTAGCTGTATCTGTGAGGGCATTTAGTGCAGCTACACAATATCATGGAGAATATGACAGTCAGGGTAAGACCTGGTGATTATAGAGGCCTTAGAGGAAGGCCGGTCAGGCAGGAGAAGGCCTTGAAGTGAAGGGCATGCCTTTCCATAAACTCTCAGCAGTGAGAGACAGCCACGGAGGAATAAGTAGTAGTAATGCTGATTAGTTTTTCACTGTATTTCATTTCTTTGGAAAAGAGGTGTAGTTTTCAAATTAATTTTGAGAATTAAATAGTTCTAGGCTGAGGCAGGAGGATCGGTAAGTTTAAGCTCAGCTTTGGCAACTTAGTGAGTTCATGAAACCCTGCCTTGAAAGAGGGAAAACAAGGAAGCTGGGGATGTAGCTTGGTGCTGAGGCCCTAGGTTCCATCCCCAGTACCAGGAAAAATAAAAAAGTTCTTGTCTTCCTTTAGAATCTGGGATCAGGAACTACGGTCTTGGACTAAATCAGTCTTACTGTCAGTTTTTAAATGCAGTTTAGGTGAAGTTCTGTAGGATCATAGCCATGTTCTTTTGTTTGGTCTGTTATCCACAGATGCTTTTGTGTTATGACTTCAGAGCTGAAGATTTGATACAAAAACCCTATGGCCCACAGAACCGAAAATATTCACTGTCTGGTCCTGTGCACAAATGATGCCGACTCTGAGCATCTGAAGTTTTAGGATGTTTGTATCTATATGATATCTGTTATATAAGCTATAGAAAGTAATACAGCGATTAGAATCAGAGAGGTTATGTTCCAGCTGTTTCTCAAATAGTTATTAATTTGTTTCTCTGAAATTTAATTTTCTTCTTTATATTACAAATAATGTTTTTGAAGATTAAAGTGAGATCACTTACTTATTTTATATTAAATTTTGTGAATTTGAGGGAAGTTTTATTTACCCTGTTTCCTTTTGCCTGTCACCTATGAAAGATTTTAGTATCCTATAATAGATTTTATTGATATGTAATTTACATATAATACAGTTTATATTTATATTTACATATATACAGTTTATATTTTAAATACATAATTTGATGAGTTTTGACAAATATACACACCTGTGTAAGCCCTGCTCCAGGAAGGTAGAACTTCTTTCCATCAACCTACAGTTCCCTTATGTTCCTTTACTGTCTTTCCTCACTCTTTGTCCTATCACTTAATTGTTTTTTTACCACTTTGTATTAGTTTTCCTTGTTTTTAGAACATACAAATGGTCTTGCCATTATGTTTTTTTTTATGTACTGCTTTGCGTTTTGCTTTTATTTGCTCATTGTGGTGGTCACCATTCCTACATTTGCATGTGCTTTTATAATTAAATCGTTTTGCTTCCCTGTAACAGGTATTAACAGCGTGTGCTTTGATGAGGAGTTAAAACACATAACTGCGATGAAATCTTTAGAGGGAGAAGTTGTACCTTTAAAAAGTAAAGTTCTTCTATCAAATAATGTAGAGGTATTTAATTCTTTTTTTCAAGTATGAAGATAAACAATAGATGAAATTTCTGTCAAAAATAATTTAATCAATTTATAGGATAGAGTTGCTTAACATGTCTTTTAGGAAATTCATATTTCCTGTTGCAAATGAAATGAGATCTTTGATTTCAGGTAAAATATGTATTCCTTGGAACATAAGTACTTTATATTGTTATGAAATAGGGGGCCTGCCCATTAGCTCAGTTGTTTAAGTGTCTGCTTAAGCAAAGCAGTCAGGCGCAGGAGTCTGTGGTTCGATCCCCAGATCCTCATGCCTTGCCAGACCTGCCCTTAAGGCATCCTGAGCCAGCCAAAAAAAGTCCTTATTAGTGCGAAATAATTCCTAATTCTCTTGATTAATTAGTATATAGAATTTTATGAAATTATTTAGGTGAACAAGTAAACTAGAAATGATTACATTTATAGTTTTTTGGGGTTTTTTTGGGTACCAGGATGTTACACTTGTAGAACAATCATTGATTAGTTCTCTAAGACTGGCAGTAAACTAATCAGAGCCCTAGTGTAGACATATAGTTTAAACCAGAGAACAGTGGTGTACATCACAGTGAAATTTTGAAGTTCCAAAATTCTTTTCCGAATGGGACCGGTTCCATCCCGAAGATGTCCGAGCCTGCGCAGGCTGCCTGTCTGCTTGTTCTTGTTAGGTCTCAACACATTGTTGGCTGTTGAACATGGAATCAGGTAATTAAAAGCATGACAGTTTTCCTAAGAAGCTCCCGGCTTTAAGAATTTTGTTGTTGGGTTCATTCCTTAATTTATTGGCACGACAGAGAGGAAAGTTTAAGTGTCAGTAACCAGGCGAGGGCACTTACTGTGCCAGCAAAGCGAACGCTGCTGCTCTGGCGCCTCGTGACTGGCAGCGCCGTGTCTTTGTTGCCGGCCAGACACGCTCTTGCTCCAGCTCCAGCTCCAGTGGCTTTTAGCAGGAGTGGCAGTGCGTGCTGTGTGCCGTATGGGCAAAACATAAAGCCGGAACTAAGTAGGTGCTTAGAAGCTAAGGTGATAGTTTTTGCCTTTAATTTAATTTCCAGTGATTTTTTTTTAAAGGAGTGACATGTCGTCATTGTTACTTTTATCAATCATTATTCACTTTATAGCAATCAAATTTTCTTAATCATTATGTAGAAAGATGTATTGTTGTAACTTTGAAGTGAAGTCAGCTTTGTTTCCTGAGGCTCTTGGCACCTGCGTCCCCACTGCCACTCCTGCGCCCCTGGGCCATTAGGTTAATTCTAGTGAAGTAGCCTCTTCCAAGGCGTGCACCTTTCTGAATCTCTGATCACTGGGGTAGCGTGAACCAGGAGACGGCACAGTCATCGGGACCAAATTGTTGGCTTATCCGTGTAGCTTAGTTGTCATAATGGTGGAGAGAATGGGCAGCTTTCTAAATGTTCACATTGTACTTGGTTTTATAGGCATACTTGCTAGGGTATAGCTACCCACAAATGTGAGCGTTTACACTCACTGTCATCCCAAAAGGTGAAAGAATTTTTTCAAATTATTTGAACCACTTATTGATACAGTGAAGAATTATATGCTATTTTACACTTTTTGGAGCTATGAGACTCAAGTCAGTAAGTATAAATCCTGTCAGCAAGTATATTGCATGTTTGCTTATGACCTGTGTATTTTACTTTCTAATTCTGTTTTCAGGGGTGGTTGAATGATTTGGCCTTGGAAATGAAGCAGACTTTGAAAGAGTTGTTAAAGGAATGTGTTTCTGCAGGGCATAGCTCACGAGGTGCAGTCGACCCATCTCTGTTTCCTTCCCAGGTAGAGTGCTTATGTCAGGGGTACAGGTCGGTGTGGGCTTGTGGGAATGTCCTCTACCTGAGTGTGAGGGTGTTAGGCTCAGACAACTATGAGACTTACCATTTAACTGTCAGGTTTTGTGAGAACCAATATAAAACCTGGTTTTCAATAGCTGCTATATTTCTTAATCTAAAAAGCAAGTAACTTTGAGAACTATTAGGTAGCTTTTCCCTCTGTGAACTCAGCCTCTCAGTGTCTACCTTCAGTCTCTACGGATGGATGTTTTCCTTATCTGACCTTAATGTGGGCAGTTGGCTGCACTTCCGCATCTGTTCCTTCAGCTGAAGAATGTGAAGGATGATGAATATGAAGGAACTTCATGGTGATGAAATTCTCCTTTAGCCTCATTAGTTTGCTATAATTCAAATACTTTCAAACCAGAGCGTGTTGAGATCTAAGCAACCCAAGCTAGTCAAGAATAGAATGCGGAAGGGAGTCAGGCATATAACAGCTTCCTAGTTCCAAGCATTTAGTCCACAGCCAATGGAGAAGCAGAAGATTCACAGCATTGTTGCCCCTGGATGACCACCCCTTCATGGGGTCATCTGAGAGCGTGGAGCTGGCGGGAGTGTCGGTGGGTGTTAACAATCGTATGGCTGAGCTGGAGTGTTGGCAGGAATTGGCCCCATGGTGGGATGTGGATATGCTGTAGCTCAGGAACAGCAGTAGCTCCTTCCGGGAACACTTGGTGCTGGATATGTAGTTTACAGTGCTTGTTCCAGGCCTTAGGAAAGTCCCGCACTAGCACTACTTACACCACCAGTCTTTCTCTGTTCAAGATGTAGGCCCAGCTAATGCTATCGGTATAGATAGCTGTGAACTTGAACTTTGTCCTTAGGTGGGCACTGAGAAATTCATGTTGCAATCTGCCAAACAGCTTTCAAAGTTACCTGCTTTTTAGATTAAGAAAATTATTGCCTACTAGAAATTATTTTATGTTGATTTTCTTGAAAGTATGAGATGTTAAATAGTGTGGAACACTTTGGATTCTGAGCTGCTTCATTATATGTATCTTAGTGAACATTTTCATATTTTAAAGTGAACTAAAACGTTTAAAAATTTTTTGGAGAAAAGTAAAAGCAAGCATCACTGATTAACCAGTGACACTGAATTTAGAATTAAGCTGCTTTATTAGCTCTGAAAATGCTTGCTTGTATTCTGTGAACTTTTAGGTGAGGCTCAAATTGACCTACAATAAAATACAAAAAGTAAAAAAAATACACAAAAGCAAGAATTGGTTAATAATTGAGTTAGGGAAACGACAGTTGCATTGAAAGATCTAGTGAACCGGCAGAAGAAAGCTGTCAGATTTCAACCTGCAGACCACCTGTAGGTTCTTGAGCAGTCAATAAAAATGCAAATGCTTAAAAATGTAAACGGATCTTGTCTATCTGAAAGTGATTGCAGTTCATTAGACACTAATTCTTGTAAAGATACATCTCGACTCTTGGCGTGAAATGGTGGCGTGCTGTAGCTAGCTAGCACAGGCCTGGGGTAGGTGATCCTGTGCTGATAATTCAGTTTCCTTCTTATAAGGGCCTGCGGTGGTAGAGAGAAGGTCTGATCCAGAAAGGAGGGCACCTGGTGGGGTTGAAAAATACCCAGCAGGTGATGGTTTATTTTCAGTTATTCTCTGAACGACGCATTTCAACACATAGTTAAGAGATTATAATAGCACCTATATTACCCAATTATTTTGAAGGTTATTGTAAAATATTTACAGAGCACCTTTAGTGACTATTATATTTTAGGTATTAGCAACACTGCCTGTCCAAATATCTTCATGGTGACATGATGTGGGAATCCAAGCCTGGTGTTGACCTTCCCTTCTGTTGGTCTAGTCAGTCACAGGTATTATATAGCCAGCTGTTAAAGGTTGTGAGCACTGATGGTCATTCTGGAACCGAGAAATACTAGATGAAAGGACTTCAAAATATTTGGGCAGGCCAGACAGACAGCTCAGTGGACTAAAGTGCCTGCTTAGGCAGAGTGCAGTGGCTGGGGTTTGATCCCAGGTGTGCCATGCTGGCCCTGCCCGCAGGGCACGCTGAGATGGTGATTGAGCCTGGGCGTGGTAGCGTGTGCCTGTAATCCCAGAGTTTGGGAGGCTGAAAGCAGGAGAATCACTATGAGTCTGATCTACATAGTAAGACCCTGAAAACCCTGTACTTGATACATTTAATATATATATGTTTATATTATATATATATATATATTTATATTATATATGTGTATATATATTTGGGTATTAGGCTTTGAAATAGCATGTGAACATTTATATATGTCAAAGAGCAAAGTCTTTTTCAAAAAGCACATTTGGATCTGGTTAAATGGTTAGCTAAGCCTGACTAAAGATGCTGGTGAGTTTTATCACCTAGTATAGTAAGATAATTTTGCCCAGGAAAGAGTTACTGATTGGCTTTGTCTTCCGTAAAGTAATCTTAATATAATATTTTATGGAATAAGTTAGAGTAAGACAGAAACTCAGCTGGCTATGATGTTATAAAATGTATGTGTGGATAACTCAATTAATATGATAAATATTGGATGATACCCATCTGGATGGTGAAAGGCATGTATCAAAAAATCTGTTGCATAGAGAACTGCCAACAAGTGTAGACCTTTTATAGGGTGCTGGGTGAGCTCCAAAGGGTGGGGTTGGCCTGTGCCTTTCTGGGGCTGTATTGTATAGGGTGCTGGGTGAGCTCCAGGGGTGGGGTTGGCCTGTGCCTTTCTGGGGCTGTATTGTCTTGTTAACAGTTGACAGTTGACATAGTGAGACCCTGAAACGTGGTGATCTGACATTCAGATGAACTATTGAATACACAGTTGACATTTCAGAAAATTGTGTTTTTCCTTAAATTTGTACAATATTTTTTAAAGAAAATTCACTTTTTAAGATAATTTTTTTCTTTATTCTGTAGATCCTATGCTTGGCAGAGCAGATTAAGTTCACTGAAGATGTAGAAAATGCTATCAGAGACCACAGTCTTCACCAGATTGAAACACAATTGGTGAATAAATTGGAACACTACACCAGCGTTGATACAAGCTCTGAGGACCCAGGGAGTACTGGTATAGAAAAAATATTCTCCTCTTTGCCTGCCTTTGGGTTATTCATCTGTTTGAACTATTTTAATTTATTTTGCTCTGAATTTGTATCCATCCATCCATTCATTTTGGTGATTACTCTGTGATTCACTATATAAATATGTAGTTTTAAACTTTCTATATTGTACTGAGAATCAATAAATATACTTCTTTAAGTATAGCGGCTTTACCGTATCTATATATCTATGTATCTACATCTATATCGTCTGTATCTTTTTCCTTCCCATTTTATGTTGTATTCATCTCACTATTACATTTGCACACACTGAAATGTCTGTGAGATTGATTTATTTTTTGATTTTGACCCTCAAAAATATTTTTAAAAGATTCAAGAGGAAAATAATCAGTTATACTCACATGTTTACCATTCCTATTGTCCTTCTTTCTTCCTGGATATTCTGATTTCTGTTATCATTTTCCTTCTGTCTAAAGAACATCCTTCAATGATGCTTTAAATTGAAAAATATGGATAATGTTAAATTTGGAAAAATGTTTTTACAGTAAAAGATGCCCTGCCATTAGTCCTGTTCCAAAATACTCCCCGTCACAACGAACACACTTCTCCCGTCCTCCGGCTGCCTGGTGAGCTCCAGTGGTCCTCTGGAGTGAGAACTTCTTCTCTCCTTGTTCTGTCTCGGGTGCCTCAGTGTCCTTAGTCTATTCAAGATAAAAGTTCCACAGTCATTTTGACTTTGGGAAAGAGCCAAAAGTTGCGTGGTTCTAGACCTGGTGGCCGGGGGTGGGGTGGGGAGAGGGGCGAGGACGCTGCACTACGCTTTTAGCCTCCTTTCTGTTGGGTGGTACTCAACAACAGCATGCGCTGTTCTTTATCAAATTGTTTTTGCATTTTTTTAGTTTTAAAATTTCCATTTCGTTCATATTTTTTATTTCATTTTTTAATTGTATTTTTTTTTTTGGAAAATGAATATGCAACTTGGAATGGATTTGAGGCAAATTGTGCCCTAAGCAGATTTTTTTTCTTTTAAGTGGCTGAACAAAGTTTAAAAAGCAAGTAACAATAAAAGAAAATGTTTCTGGTACATGACCAGCAGTACAAAAAAATAGTGTACACATATGTGATAATAAACCCGTTTTGCGAGAGTGCGGCTTTGCAGTACGTGCTGTTGGCTGTCTGGAGCCGCACAGTTACAGCTGCACACGCCAGCACAGCGTGCCAACGATTCCTAGGAAAGCTGCTTAGAAAAAGGCACAGCCCGTGTTCCCTCATTTGACCAACTCCATCTAATTTTAGATGTGCAGGAGGGCTTAGATACATCTAGGGTAAGCCACATGCGGCATGTTACTTGGTCAGTTCTCTAAAATAAAGTTTCTGGACCATGACAGTAGGATAAGGGAAGAAAACATGGAATGAAGTCTAATTACTGTATGTGCATATTTTTTTGACATTCAGAGGAAACCTTTTACAGATAATTTACAAAGAAAAGGCAAATTTGTACAAGAAATTTAACACATTCTGTACAGCGTCTTCACTTCGCTGTCGCCATTTGTACAAACTTCATAGTTTCCTTGGCCATCATCTCAATGTCTGCTTCCCTGATCATCTCATCAGGCTCCTCATATGTTAACTTTTCTCCAAGGTTCGTCATCACGTGGCGAAGCTCTGCTGCACGAATATAACTCTTGCCGTCCTTATCAAATACACGGAACGCTTCTCTAATTTCTTCCTCACTGTGTTTTTCATTTTTCTTGCCATTGTCAGAAATTCAGGGAAGTCAGTTGCACCATTACCATCTGCTTCTGCTTTGTCAGTCATGTCCTGGGACTGCCTCTGTGGGGTTCTGCCCGGAGGCCTCGCCACAGTTCCCAGCTCCTTTGCTGTTGTAGTTCCCTCACCATCCTTGTCACATGGTGAAGAAGCTCCTTGGACCTCTGCGATCCGCTCTTCAGTTGGTCGGCGGTGCTCGAGCTGCTGCTGGTGTCTGAGATGGTAACACTGAGCGGCTCAGCTTGTTCGCTCCACTCAGACTCTGCGTCATTGTTGACATTTTTTTGCATTTGTTTTAAGAGTGTTCACTTTATTTTTGAGTGTTCACTTAGTTATTTCTGGGGTCACTTTTGTAATAGTGCTTTAAGAAGTATTTTAGAGATAATACTGTGTCCTCTTTTGCACTGAAGCAACATTAGAATGTTGGATAATTTTGGATTGTGTTCTGAACGTTCTGGATGTTATGATATCTTCTGGAGAATGTTTGATTTGACTTGATTTTCTTTGGCTTTTTGAGATAGGGCCTTCCTTGTTATGTAATTCAGTGTGGACTGGAGCTCACTTTGTACCCCACACTGGTTTTGAACTCAAAATGCTCCTTCTGCCTCAGCTTCCCTAGTGGTGGGATTGTAGAGGTGTGCCACCACACCCAGCTCTTGTTTTTCATTTTTTTAAGCAATTATTCTATTGAGTCAGATCACAGGTTCTGTGGGTTATGATTCCAATGTCAGTTTTTGTTTGTATATTTTTATAATATTATTTGAAACTATCCCACGTGTATGTCACATAGTGTGTAGTTTTCAAAGTTTTTGAATTATTATTGTTTTTTATGTTTAGTGCAGGGTCTACAGGGTCTCACTACATAGATTGAACTGGTAGTGATCCTTCTGTTTTCAGCCTCCCATGTGCTGGGATTATAGGACTGTGCCACCACACCTAGTCACAGTCTCATCTCAGCATACCCCGGGGGCAGGGCCGGCATAGCACCCTGGGGATTGAACCACAGGCTTTGTGTCTGTCTAAGGAGGCACTTTAGTCCACTGAGCTATCTGGCTGGCCCTTGAATTATTATTAAAAGTATACTACCCGTGTATCTTAGAGGTGAGCCCAGGAAATAATAAATAATTCATTATAGTGTAGATGACCTTAACTTTTTTTGTCTTTGAGACAGGGTCTGGTTTTGTTTTTGTTTTTGTTTTTTTTTTGCGGAACCGGGGATTGAACTCAGACCCTTGTGCTTGCCAGGGAAGTGCTTATTCTACTGAGCCATCTCCCCAGCCCTTCATTATAGTTTAATAAATAATTTATTAAATTACAGGGATGGTTTTCCAATGTCTTTCTTCTCCGTGGTCTTCCCATGTCTCTGGTTCTCTGTTCCCGCTTGGTCCTTTGGCCAGAAAGTGAGGCTTGTACCCTTTTGTGACTACATCTGTGTACCCAACCTATTAATATGTGCTTGACCAAAGAGAGCAAAAGCCATGGGGCTGGCCCACTCTCTGGGATTGCAGTTCTTCCAACTTTAGAGGAAGTGTCCCTTCTCTCGCAGTTTAGGGACTGTGGAGCCCTGTTGGCCAGTGTGTCATTTACCTGCCTCTGCGCCTGAGCATTTCAGGCCTTCTCCAGTGTTTATGTCAATCTGAGGTTCTGACTATGTTGAGCATAGAACTGGGAAGACCAAAGGGGCAGACGGAGGCATACTTACCATTAGTTTGGTGACATTTCTAGTTCTGCTGTTCTCCCGCTTTGCCTGCCTTCCCTTACTTTCTAGAGACCTAAAACAGCAGCTCAGTACATGTATTCCTGTCTGACCTGCACTGAGATGGAAGAACCAAGAGAGCATGCGGCCTGCCCAGAATAATAGTCTCTTCTTATTGAAATTTCATGCACTAATTTTGTTTATAATCTTTATTATTTCTTGCTGACATATTTTGGCTTATACAGTTTATATTACTATACTTTTCAAGTGTATTGTAAAATTACCACTTAAATTCATTCAAACATTGCTTGTATACATAGTAATCACTGGCTAATGCTTTCTCCTGTTAATGTTTATTTGTGTGCAGAAGCCGGTGTGCTGGAGCTTAAACTTAAAGCACTGATTCTTGATATTATTCATAATATTGATGTGGTGAAGCAGTTAAACCATGCTCAAGTTCATACAATTGATGACTGGGCTTGGAAAAAACAAGTTAGATTCTACATGAAAAGCGATCACACGTGTCGTGTTCAGATGGTGGACTCTGAGCTCCAGTACACCTACGAGTATCAGGTATGACTTGGGGCTGCAGTGGCTTGTTTTTCTAGTTAGAAATTATTTAAAGGAAATTTGCTATTAGGAGAAATGTTTTTATTTCTGTTGTAGTTTTTAAATATTTTTGTGTTATTCTTTTCTTTCTTTCTGTTTTCTTCTTTTTCTTTACCAGAATTTAAAAGGTGTTATGTAAGATAATGTAGAAAATAATTCAGTTTACAGAAAGTTGAAATATCTCTAGGCTTGCATTGAATGAAGCCTATAAAATGTTTCATTGGTGGTATTTATGTAGAGCTTGACTCTTAATTTTAAGACAGATTTTTTTTTTATTTTATTTTTTTAATGTATTTGGGGGCCAGATAGCTCAGTGGATTAAAGCATCTGCTTAGGCAGATGCAGGGGCTGGATTTTGATCCCTGGCATGCCAGGCCGGCCCCACCGCTGGTGCATGGTAAGACAGAGATTGAGACTGGGCATGGTGGCGTGCGCCTGTAATCTCAGCACTTGGGAAGCTGAAAACAGGAGGATCACTACAAGTCCGATTTGTGTAGTTAGACCCTGTACTACATTTAAAAAAAAAAATGTTTCGTACAAGGTCTCACTATACAGCTTGGACTCATAGTTTTCCTCTTGTTTTCAGCCTCCCCAGCACTGGGATTATAGGCATTAACCACCACACCCAGTCTCAGTGGCTAGCTCTGCGTGCCCAGGGCTGGTGCAGCATGTGGTGCCAGGAATCGAATCTGGTCCCTGCACTTGCCTAAGCAGGTGCTTAGTCTGCTGAGCTATCTCACCTACACAGAAAATGTATTTTGACACTTAAATCTGTGTACCTTAATTGAGAAAATGCCCTATAAATAACAGCTGAGGGTGCAATGTTTTCCCTATAATTTAGTAAAATTTTGAGAGCTGTTTGAGAAGTTACTACTTTCATGAAAAAAACCTTACAATTATAAAATTGTACAATTTTAAGTTAATTGTACTTTGAGCTGTCTAATATAGTTCCGATTCCTGTTGATCATGAGTCTAAGTAATGATTTACATACATCAGAACTGTGGAATGGACTCTTCTGCAATATATTTTCATGTTTGTTTCTCTCAAAAGTAATCTTTTTGCCATTGCCAAGGACTTGAGAGATCATGCGGAAACCTAACAGGATAGAACGAGACACGTGTTGAACAGTAGTAGCTCAGGGTGACCTTTGCTTGTGCTTCACAATATTTATTGCACTGGGAGAAATTTGGGCTGTTTGCTGTGCAGCTCACTGTCTGTGTAGAATCCTACCCTGTGAGTGTGTGTAAGTGCTGAGCAGAAGCGAGCCCGCTGACGTGCTTTTCCCCATGCAGGGCAACGCTCCCAGGCTGGTCTACACGCCCCTGACGGACAAGTGCTACCTGACGCTCACGCAGGCCCTGAAGATGGGGCTCGGTGGAAACCCCTACGGCCCCGCCGGGACTGGAAAGACCGAATCAGTGAAGGCGTTAGGGGGGCTTCTTGGAAGACAAGTTTTAGTTTTTAACTGTGATGAGGTAGAAGAAATAATTATTGAAATATGTAATAGTGTGTTAAATATGTTTAGATTTGTTTTCATGCAATTATTTATGATTTATTCTATATCCTACTTTTAAAATGCTTTTAGCAAGGCAAATATTAAGAAAAAAAGATTTTTTTCCCAGCAAATCCAGTACTCCAGCTCTCCTGTCTCCCCCCTCTAGAGGAAAAGTCTTAAATTCATTTAAAATTACTTTTTTCCCCCAACATTTTATATAAGATTTGTATTTCAACTTGAAGAATATCTGATTACATTTGTTTTATGTTCTTTTCAGAACATTTTCCCAAGCATTATTTTATTCCTGGAAACCACTCTGAACTTTGAAAGAGGAGCCACTTCATCCCCATTTTCTTTTCTTTTTTCTTTTTTGGGTTTCTTTTATTTTGAGACAGAATCTCGCTGGCTAGTGTAGGCTGGCCTTGAGCTCGCTTCCGCTGCTGAGGCTGGCCTAGAATTCTCGGCAGTCCTCTTGCTTCAGCCTCCGGAGTGCTGGGACTACAGGTGTCCACCACTGCGCCCTCCTAATCCCTGTTGTAACGGAAGCAAAAGAGACAGAGGGGTGAAATGATTACCAGTGAAAGACACAAAACATTACACAATTAGATACTTCAATTATTTTTAATGAACATTTTTGTTACCGTTTTTAAGGGCATCGATGTGAAGTCCATGGGGCGCATATTTGTTGGCTTGGTGAAGTGCGGGGCCTGGGGTTGTTTCGATGAATTCAACAGGCTGGAAGAGTCTGTGCTGTCTGCAGTGTCGACGCAGATCCAGGCGATCCAGGACGCGCTGAGGAATCACAGGGCTGCGTGTGAGCTGCTGGGCAAGGAGGTAAAGAGCACCTTGGGCGCTGAAAGAGCTGAGGTATCCTGCAAGATGCGGCGTTGCGCAGGCTCAGGGCTTGTTCTCTTCCTCTTGTACTCCTGTTTCTCATCTATGACCGGCACATGTCTGAGATTCTCTGCTGGTCCACTGTCACCATTCCTCTTTGACCCTTAATAGGGGCTGTGTAACATTTGTTGTTTGTGTGGGTGCTGTGCGTGCCACTTGAATGTACTGTCCCTAATTCTACAACCTTTGGATGTAGCTAATTACTTTTTTCTACTTTATGGGCAAAGAAAGCAGAACTTGATGGTGCTGGTAGTGGAGCTGGGAAGTGACTCCAGCTCTCTCTAGCATGTCTTTAAGCTCTGCTCTGTGGGGGTGCTGAAAGGCGAGGCACCCAGGATTCTGGCCATCACTTCTGTCCCTAGGAGATATTCATTCGTGTGGTTGGGCTGTCAGCTCACTTGTATAGCTGATATAAACATCTTCAATAGCTATGGAGTGCCTGGCACACCAGAATGGATAAGAACTGTTAAATTATCCTGTTTTCCATAATAACTTTTTCACAACATGTGTTTGCCTGGGTATCCCAAGGGAGTAAGGCCAGTTTTACATTGTTAATGTGTTATGTACATGCTGCTTAAATTCTTCACAAATTTGAGAAATAATTAAGAATTACTTCTCTACTATCAAGAGTTACTTCCTTCCACATTCATTCATTTTTTTCTTCCTCTTAAAAAGAGGCGTTCTTTTTCCTGAGTAGTGCTAGTCTTTCCACCCATACTCTGGAATCTGTTCTCCAGAGACCTCTACTTCCTCCTGTGCTAGAGCGTCAGCCTTCCCTCTTCTGCCGTTGCCCTTTTGGCCTTCAGACGTAGTCTTTTCCTCTTTTTTTTTGAAAAATATTGTCTGTTTTGCACAGGGTCTCACTACCCAGCCTGGACTTGTAGTGTTGCTCTGGTCCAGCCTCCCCAGCGCTGGGATACAGGGGTGGTCAGTTTGGCGCACCTGGGGCGGGGTTGGCACGGCATGTGGCGCCGGGCATCGAACCTGGGTCCTTGCGCTCGCCAGCAGGTGCTTAGACTGCTGAGCTATCTCCACGGCCCCAGTCTTTCCATCTTAATGAACATGGACAAATCTCACTTGAATTCACCTTACCTTACAACACCTGCCTTTTTTTCTTTTGTAGCCAGATTTCTTGGCTTCATTATTCTATAGATATTTTTACTTAGCAATTATTCCTTCATTGTTTACGTGTTGTCATTTAACTTAGTCTTGGCTGCAGTGAACATTGTGCTGCGGGCTTTGCTCATGATGCCCTGCTCCTCCGTATCCTGCCACTCATCCCCTGGAGTGGCTTCTCTGTGACACTAGGCAGACGGTGTGTGCATTTCAGAGAGGCACAGGCTGTTCGTTCATTCATTCTTTTTTTTTTTTTGGCGGAACCAGGGATTGAACTCAGGCCCTTGTGCTTGCCAGGGAAGCGCTAATTCCACTGAGCCATCTCCCCGGCCCCACAAAGGCTGTTCTTAACTTTAGTTCAGAGCTGTCTCTGTGTACTAGCACAAAGCTTTTAGTGAGCACACGCTGAATGGAGAGCAGCATTCAAGTTAGTTACCTTTCTTTAAGCTTTGTTTTAAACATCTGAGGGAAAAACCTGGGCAAAGCAGTGCATTTCTGAGGAGTTTGTATTTACTAAGGAGATGGCTGGCATAGTAGAGGTTGCATTTTTGCTAAGATGTGAGACTTATATACAGAAATGTTATAAAATTTCTCTTGGCAATATATATTTATTTACAATTTCAAATTTCTGATGCCTATATTCTAAATTAATATTTCAGGTAGAATTGAGTTCTAATTCTGGAATTTTCATCACCATGAATCCTGCTGGGAAAGGTTATGGAGGAAGACAAAAACTGCCTGATAATCTGAAACAGCTCTTCAGGCCAGTAGCCATGTCTCATCCAGACAATGAACTTATTGCAGAAGTTATTCTCTATTCAGAAGGCTTTAAGGATGCTAAAGTACTTGGCAGAAAATTGGTAGCTATTTTCAATCTATCTAGGTGAGTGTTCTTCTTTAAATATTTTTGCACCTTGTATTACCGATGACTGGTTATGGCTGCTCGCTTTTCTCTTGCTTGGGCCTTCACACCGAGCTGCGTTTTCAGCCTTTTGACAAAAATTTGAGACAATTGTCTCGGCTATGCAGAACCGTACGATCTTCATTCTTCAGCCCCCCAGAATGCTGGGATGCTAAATGTTCACTACTGTTCCTGATGGACAGATTCAATTTTTTTGTTGTTTGTTTGTTTGAGATGGGATCTTACTGTGTGGCTTAGGCTGGCTTTAAATTCGCTGTGCCGCTCAGGCTGGCCTTGAACTCGTGGCTCTCTTCCTGCCTTTGCCGCCAAGCACTGGGGTTTTTCAACACGCACCTCCACTCCTGGCCTGCAAGATCGTACTTTGAAGAATAAAAACGTCTGACTCCAAACTATTCATTTTTTTCTGACAATGTAGCTGATATTTTTTCTTTAAATATTTATACTGGAGCACTAGCTAAATGTTTTGTACTGAGCTATTTTTCCAGAAGATGACTCAATTTCTGATCTTTGCAGTGAATCTTTGACATATTTTACTTAGGTTTCCTAGTAATATGGGTTGCCGCTTAGCTTCTTTGGCTCAAGCTAAAGTTTTGTTTTGAATCACTTAAAGAGATGGTAGGAAACAGGACAGCGCCAGAGGTGGAGAACAAGAAGGAGGGGTGCAATTCTTATGTGAACAAAGGTAACAGGGAGTTGTCATTTAGTGTTTTTATTGTTTTGTTTTTACTTTTTTGCA